CTCGTAAACACTTCACGCGCCGAGAGACACGCGAAACTGGAAACTCTGCTTTCCTGGCAGCGGGACTTAACCGGTACTAGACGAGGAGGAGGCTGCACCAGGAGGTGGTAGTACTACCTGTAGTACTCATCTGTAACTGTGGAATAACTATATAAGTACCTTATAACTCGTGTGAATGAAAACGAGCGTGAGATAAGTATATATGTATATTCGAACGGATGATACGTGGACTAAACGGGTCCATGACGGACAGCATCTTGCGGAGTATGAGACTGATCCCAGTGCATCGGGATGACGGTGCCAGAACGTAAAGCGGTACAGGGACGCGCTGCGGCAAGGACGAGAATGCATACGGGCTGGAAAATCAATCAGAGCCAGATAGCTATCTGGTCTAAATCACCAGGGCAGGGTCGCCCGGTAGACCAGGATGTCCTAGGGATGACGGGGGCTTATCGTGGGGTTCGCGTTTGCCTCGTAAACCAGTAAACCACCCTCGACTCACCCTTGGCTCGTTTCCACCCTCTCTCGGATTCTACGTTGAAGCCACGATAACCACCCCTCCCCAGCCCTCCTCCGGGCTAGTTCACCCCTCTACTCCCCCCCCCCTGCCGAAGGGAACTTAACCCAAATCTGCACCATACACGCGTCTGATCCACAAAGTGGCATCCGCCATAAAGGTATCTACGATCTAGATGGTTGCCCAAATCACCATAGCTATATTATATACACATATGTAGATATCACATGAACAAATCACAGAGGTCCCTGGAACATGTCTCTTAATCAGTTTCGCCAATATATTTGGCTCTTCAGCCTTACTCGGACACCATGCGCAGCCTAATTGATTTACCCTAATCGGCGCGGTCGGAGGGCGTCCCCGTCCGTCCCCCTATAACCCACGCTATGGAGTGCTCTTTTTCTTCTTTCCTTCTCTTTCTTTTTCTTTCACTTTTTTTTTTTCACCTATTCATTACTTCAGCAGGTCCAAGGAGTTCCTCCTAGGTTAATACTCTCCTTTCGTCAGTGGCCCCGAGCCGTTCACTTTTTTTCCTCAATTAAGAACTCCGGCTCTCTCGTATCTTTTTTCTCTCTCTCTCTCTCTCTCTCTCTCTCTCTCTCTCTCTCTCTCTCTCTTCAGCACTTCGCGCTAATCTGTCTCTGTCTCTCCCTTTCTGTCTATGACTTCACTCGCAGAACGCTATAGCGTGCTCTCAGGTTTACCTGGCTGATCCGCGCACCGTTTATGGATACGCGCGAGTCTTCGTCGCAGACTCGCTACATTCGCTGGACCACTTTTCCCTCCCCGGCGACCCTGTTCCCACGATGGCCACAACCTGGCAGGCCAGGGCGCTCCCGTCCAGCGAGTTTTACTTGACCTGCCAGGTACAGTGGCTGCTCCGAGGTGCTCACCTTTTGCATGAGGTTGCTACTGTGCAGAAGTTCGAGATGGCGTCAACAATGCACGAACCAGCCCTTGTCGAGTTCTTGAAGACTCGACGCTTCGGCTTCCCTTCCGATGAACTCGACTTCTTGACCCCGCCACCAGACCCAGACCCTGGGTGTCAGAAAGTGGTACTACGAAACCCGATTAACTGGGCCACTTGTGACTCCAACGTCTCGTAGATGAACTTGCCAATGGGACGATGCCAGATCGTCCAAAGCGCGTCCAGGGGTCGCGCTCGTGTCTCGCAATGATCGATGCTTTGATTTCGAAGTTCTGTTGTGTGAGGTGGTAGAATGGGGCCATGAGGGAGGACCCGGGTGAGAGTTCAAGGGTCGTCCCTCGTGTGGAGGAAAGGAAATACAGTAAGGGTTGTGAGGTGCTGCGGACCTTTTCAAGCGGTAAACTTCGTGAGCGTGAATTTTCGGGGGTGGCTCAGGTTTACAACGGGGCCAAAAGCGAAGGTTGGCGGCGAGGGGGGTGGGGTTGACCTTCCCTTCTGATTCTCCTACCACTTCATCGATTGGATTTTGCCCCCGAAAGAGCGTTACGAGAAAGAGAAATATCAGTCAGGAAAAAACTGCCGAACGAACTTACCCTGGTTTCAATTTGTTTTTTATCTCAGAAATCTATCCCCCCTCTAAGTCTGCCGGTAAATATGAGAAATCAGAACGCGCAATTCCCAGTCACGGAGTTTTCGGGCAAAAAGTTGACCAATGGATAGGAGCAATATGCTGTAGACCGTACTGGACGCCCTTACGGTTTTACTACCCTTATTCTTCTTCCGTATTGCCATGGATACTTGCGTACGATTCTGGTCTGCTTCACAAGGCTTTTCTTCTTTTTCCTCCCTTTCTCCGTGATCGCTCCTTCCTCCTCGCCAGGGACGTCAAACAGGCACGCTGAAAATTAAGGCTGGGGGATGAAATTGAACGAGTCGAAAGATCTAAAAGGCAGAATCAGTCGAAACAGTTGTTGAACGAGTCCAAAGGGGCCGGGAGGGGAGGGGGGTTGAAGCGAAGAAAGGGGGGGATACTCACACGCAGTCCGATAATTCACACGCACTGGTAAACGCGCACCCTCGGAATACCCTCACGTGTAAGGAGTCCCTTTACATTGAATATGTGTGGCTATATGTGAACATATATATATATATATATATATATATATAT